GTCCTTACCTAAAGCCATCAGGTGCAGTCTCTTGGTCCTTACCTAAAGCCATCAGGTTCAATCTCTTGGTCCTTACCTAAAGCCATCAGGTGCAATCTCTTGGTCCTCACCTAAAGCCATCAGGTTCAATCTCTTGGTCCTTACCTAAAGCCATCAGGTGCCATCTCTTGGTCCTTACCTAAAGCCATCAGGTGCAGTCTCTTGGTCCTTACCTAAAGCCATCAGGTGCAGTCTCTTGGTCCTTACCTAAAGCCATCAGGTGCAGTCTCTTGCTCCTCACCTAAAGCCATCAGGTGCAATCCCTTGGTCCTTACCTAAAGCCATCAGGTTCAATCTCTTGGTCCTTACCTAAAGCCATCAGGTGCAATCTCTTGGTCCTCACCTAAAGCCATCAGGTGCAATCTCTTGGTCCTTACCTAAAGCCATCAGGTGCAATCTCTTGGTCCTTACCTAAAGCCATCAGGTGCCTGCATTCCCCTAGTTCAAGCCAGAGCCCAATATAAGGGGCTGAGATCCTCACTTGTGGGGACCTGGTTCCTTATCCCCATGGGCAGTGATTGAAGCTCAGCAGCACACAGAGGGGCTGAGCTGGTTCCTTTGGCTCTATGGAAAGTAAAGGCTTGGAATAAGGACTTGGTTGCTTGGCTGCTAAGAGGGCTCACAGAGGGGTTGCTATGGCTTTATGCATCAGTTCCACAGGCTGTGACCATCCTGTGGGGTGCAGCTCTCAGTTGGGGGGTCAGCAAACCACCTCCATGGGGTGCTGCTGTGGGAAGAAGAGCTTGGGGAGGCTTTCAGAGGGAGGAAATGAGGCTGTTCCTTGGTGGTTGCTGCCTATCCCTCGCTGTATCTAAATACAGCTGAGCCCTTTGAAGGGAAGAGGCAGCCTCAAGGAGGAATTGATGCTTCTTGCCCTGCCAAGTGGCTTCTCCTTGACGTCCAAACCACATCAGCTGCGGCTGGGGCCAAGCAAACCCTGGCTCTGAGCAGGAGGAGGGATGCTTTGGACCCTGCATCCGAGTTTTCCCTATGGAACTGGGACCTGGCAGCCTGGAAGTGATGCTTTGGACCCTGCATCCGAGTTTTCCCTATGGAACTGGGGCCTGGCAGCCTGGAAGTGATGCTTTGGCAGCTCCTACCCTTACCAGACGACAGGAAAGCAGCAGTAGTAAGGAGGTACAAGGTAAGAGCAAGTCTTTCCTCCAGTGATGGGTTGATGGAAGCGGAATTGCCCTCCCCAAGCCCCTCATCCTCCTCCTCTTTAGGCCTCTCCCATTGAGTGTGCAGCAGGAACAGGAAATAAAGGGCTTGCATTGCGAGGGTTTTATCCTCCCTGTGCTGCTTCCTCAAGCCCTGCATTCCTGTGGGCAGGAGCTCCCTTTGTGCTCTGGGGACCCGAGTGCACTGGGCGCTGTTCAAGCACTCCAGGGAGCGTTTGCTCAAGGCTTCCCTATTCATAGGGAACAAAGAGAGGCTGAGCTTAGAATAACCCCCCCAGTGGTTTATTATAGGAGCTCCAATAGAGGATAAGTCCCTCTTCAGGTATCCCAAGCACTATATGGACAACCAGCCCCAATGCAACGCATGGGAAGAACGGAGCCTCAACGTTTGCTTTCCAGCGTTGTTAAGGACCAGGCTCCAAACCCACACGTGTGCATCACGGGGTGGCCCTGCAGGACCCTGCCAAGGCTTGGATGGGCAGCAGAGCTCACTGTGAGGAGGGCAAAAGGAGCTTTGGGGTGAGCCTAAATCACAGCGACCTCGTCTTAGACCTCCCCAATGCACTGGAGGTGCAGGGCTTTGCTGCCTTTACAGCAGCAGCTCCATAGGGAATGGAGGGGATTGGGCTTTGGAAGGGGTTGGGGTGAGCCATTGGAGGAATGGGCTCTGATTCAGAGCCTCTTCCCTTTACAGAGTGGCTTTGTGCCGACCAGCAAGGGGAAGCTGCGGCGATGGAAGCAGAAGGATGCTTCACCCATCCACCCGCTCCTATTGCACCCCAACAGTGAGTCAGGCTCCCCAAAAGGAGTGAGACCAAAGCTGCAACGCTCAGGGCTTGTTGCAGCAGCCAAAACCTGACCCCTGGGGAACGTTTGGTGCCCAATGGCCTTCCTTTCCGGTGCCTCCTCCGTGCCTACATCCCTCAAGCCAGCCAATCCGCGTCGCCTCGCCTCTCCCGTTATCCCGGCATCCTTTGGGCTTCGCCTATAGGGACGTGCCTGGGATGAGGTCCTCTCCTCCCGCAGTCGATCCCGTGCCCTCCGGAGGTGCTGGAAGCCTGGAGATGATCCTGGCTGTTTCCTGCGTCCTCTCTAAGTGCTTGAGCTGCTGCCTGCCCCCAGTGCTGGGCTTGAGTGCGCTCGGGTCAGGGGAGCCCTTCCTGCTCCCGATGCCCTCCTCCCTTGGCACGGAGCTGCAGTGGGGGAGGCTGCCTCCTGCCCCCCATCCCATCGCCACAGTGGATGCAGTGGGAGCCCTCCAGGGCAGACTGGAAGCACTGGGGATGACTGGTGGGGGTTTTGCCTGCGCTCGAAGCTGCTTCACAGGCTGGCGGCTGAAGCGGGCTCGGGGCTGGCTCCCCAGGCCTGGCTCGGGGTCGCTGTCGGTCCTCTCGTGCTCGGGGGCTTCCAGCTCGGAGCCAGTGCTTGTGGTCAGCGCTGAATGGGAGAGGAGGGGGCAGTGAGAGGGGTCCTACAGCAGCCCGTAGCTCGTGGTGCTTTCCCTATAGAAGGGGCGCCCGGATCCCTGGGTGAACAGCATCAACAGGGGGAGCTGCCCTCCAGCAGCTTGGTCCATCAGGAGCGACCCCAAGCTGTGAACGAGGGGGAAGAGGAGCAATGATGGCAACGTAGAGGCAGGCAGGAGGTGTGAGAACCAGCAAGCAGAGCACAAGGCAGCCTAGAAGAGCATCCCCGCTTTACCTAAGTGATATCTAAAGTGATCCCCACTTTACCTAAGTGATACCTAAAGTGATCCCTGCTTTACCTAAGTGATACATAAAGTGATCCCTGCTTTACCTAAGTGATACCTAAAGTGATCCCTGCTTTACCTAAGTGATACCTACAGTGATCCCCACTTTACCTAAGTGATACCTAAAGTGATCCCTGCTTTACCTAAGTGATACCTAAAGTGATCCCTGCTTTACTTAAGTGATACCTAAAGTGATCCCTGCTTTACCTAAGTGATACCTACAGTGATGCCCACTTTACCTAAGTGATACCTAAACTGATCCCCGCTTTACCTAAGTGATACCTAAAGTGATCCCTGCTTTACCTAAGTGATACCTAAAGTGATCCCTGCTTTACCTAAGTGATACCTAAAGTGATCCCTGCTTTACCTAAGTGATACCTAAAGTGATCCCTGCTTTACCTAAGTGATACCTAAAGTGATCCCCGCTTTACCTAAGTGATACCTAAAGTGATCCCCGCTTTACCTAAGTGATACCTAAAGTGATCCCCGCTTTACCTAAGTGATACCTAAAGTGATCCCCGCTTTACCTAAGTGATACCTAAAGTGATCCCCGCTTTACCTAAGTGATACCTAAAGTGATCCCCACTTTACCTAAGGCATCCAGGCTCAGTTCTCCATGGGCTCCCTCCGAAGTCAGCTCCTGGATGGCTTCCCTGGAAGATGCGTTCCCAGACCCACAATCCACATCTAAACCCGTGTGTGGGCAGGAGGAATCCTGTTGGGAGAGGTCAGGAAGTGTTCCTATGGGATGGGAGGTGAAGACAACGCCAGCTCCCAGTTCACCCCAGCGCTGGGAGAGCCAAGTGCATGGAGACCACTGAGCTGAAAACACCTTGGTTTGGCTTGGGTTGGCTGCAAGGGTGGGAATAGGGAAGGAGCTTGCAGAAGGGCACAGGCAGAGCCATGGGAGAGACCCAGCTCCCACGCTGGCAGGGCACAACTGCCCTAAACCTCAACCCAGGGCGCTGAGATGGGTTCCCACATCCCACAGGACGCCCAAGCAGCCCGTTGCAGCACTAAGAGGGGGAGCATCCGAAACCAAAGCCCTTCACTGGAGCTTAGGAAGTCATATTGAAAGCAATGGGGGTGCATGGATGGGGTTGGTGTGGACCCACTGTGAGTCTGCACAAGGGGGAAGTTGGGTTGAACGCAATGGGGGTGCCTGGATGGGGTTGGTGTGGACCCACTGTGAGTCTGCACAAGGATCTGGGCATCTTGGTTATATTAAAGGCAAAACCAAAGTGCCCTTAGAAGGAGCTCCCCTTCCTAACAACACCTTCAAGTAGGTACAAATGGCTTTGGAAATGGGTTGTGTGCATCCCAAAGTGCTTCCTATGGAGCTCTATTGCTTCGGTAGCATTGCTGCCCCCAGGAAGTGACTGGTGTGAGTTTATTGCAGCTCTCAGCATCCTTGCTCTGATTTGTGCTTCCTCAGGGAGCTGGGCCTGGAAAGGAAGCAGCAAAGCAGCATCCTTGCCCATCAGCCATGGCCAGGGGCACTGCAGGCAGAGGCTTGCATGGAAGCATCCACAGCTCCAAAGCAGGAGGCAGGGAGTCCCCAACTGCAGCTCTCGCTCCCTTTTCCTTCACTTTAGCAAAGGAATTGCCCCTTTCCTGCTCACCAAAAGGAGTGTGGAAAGGGAAAACCCAGCCCAGGGATGCTGTGCCCATTGGTGGCTTTAAAGTGCAGTGAAATAGGTTGGGAGGAAAGAGCTTGGGACTCAATGGCAGCAGGAGGAAAACCAGGGTCTGGGGCTTAGGGATGCAGCAGGGCCCTGTGGGGTTGTCCTATGGGATCTGCTGGGCCTTCAGGGCACAAAGCTGCTTCTGAAGTTATGGAGCATGGAGAACCAGCAGCTTAGGATGGAAAACCCCATTGTTCTCCAGAGCAAAACCACCCTTCAGAGTGGTCCCAGAAGCTGGCGGTCTCCCACTCCATCTGCTCCTTCCCCTTGGGATAACCCTTGGCTAGGAAACAGGGTTGTTGGGTGTGAAAGAAGCTCTCTCATCACGGGTCCACCTCCCTGCCTCTAGAGCAGGGTCAGGGAGCCCAGCTCGGTGCCTGGAGCTCTACCTCTACCCTTAGGCTCCGGGTTGGGTTTGGGCTCTGCGCTCCTTCATCCTCCTCCGCTGCTGCTTCTCGCTCCGGATGCTCCCATCCCAAGGCCGAGGGCAGCTCCTGCATCCCGAACACCCGCTCGTAGTTCTCAATGAGGAACTGCACCAGCTGAGCTTGGTACCCGGAGTCCAGCAGGCAGGCCATGGACACATCGCTCCCCGCGCCCGCCCGCATCAGCGTGGGCCCGAACACTATGCCCAGGTTGGTCGGGGACATCTTGTTCTCTTTGTAGTTCTCTGCCACCCTAGGAAGGGAAAAGGGAGGGTTAGGGGCTCACCAGCGCTCAACCCGAACGCACCCAGCACCCATGGGATGCCCCAGACCCTGTTTCCTAGGAGAGGGAAAGCCATCTCTTCTGGGAACAGGAGTGGGATGGTGCGGCCCTACTGAGAGCGGTTGATGCTCGTGAGCTGTGTTCAGAGGTGGGTGAAAGAGCTTGGGTCATGTCAGTCCTTGACCTCCTGCTCTGCACTTGATGGAGTGTTAGCACCAAGGACATTGGTCCTTCTTGGTCATTAACTTGATGAAGTGTTAGCACCAAGGACATTGTGGTCCTTCTTGGTCATTAAGACTGCTATCCACTTGATGAAGTGTTAGCACCAAGGACATTGTGGTCCTTCTTGGTCATTAAGGCTGCTCTCCACTTGATGAAGTGTTAGCACCAAGGACCTGCTGGTCCTTCTTGGTCATTAAGGCTGCTCTCCACTTGATGAAGTGTTAGCACCAAGGACCTGCTGGTCTTTCTTGGTCATTAAGACTGCTCTCCACTGATAAAGTGCTAGCACCAAGGACATTGGTCCTTCTTGGTCATTAAGGCTGCTCTCCACTTGATGGAGTGTTAGCACCAAGGACATTGGTCTTTCTTGGTCATTAAGACTGCTCTCCACTGATAAAGTGCTAGCACCAAGGACATTGGTCTTTCTTGGTCATTAAGGCTGCTCTGCACTTGATGGAGTGTTAGCACCAAGGACCTACTGGTCCTTCTTGGTCATTAAGATGGTCCTTTCCATGCCTTACCCTTTTACCCTCCCCAACATCCTGCTTGGCTCCCCGAGGCCAAGGAACCCCAAAGGCTCTTCTCACACACACATGGTGCTGAGCTCCTGCTCCCTTGGCAGCGAGGCCTCAGCAGGGACCTGCTGCTGAGCAGCGCAACCACCACCTCCTCACCTGTACAAGTGGGCCATGAGGTGCCGCAGGGTGTTGTAGTTACTGGCAGGCAGTTTGCTCAGCACCTCCTTCATGCTCTGGATGGGCTGGGAAGGGAAAGCTGCCCCATCCAGCCTTTCCTCCATGGGTCTCTGAAGCTCTTTGGCCAACGTCATGAGCTCGTCGTAGAGCTGGGACGGCAGCACCGGGGCTGAGAGCTGCAGGGAGAAGGGAGGAGAGCATCCCGGTACCCGCACCGAGGGCTGGGCTTGGCGGGGCCAGAGGTTTGGGATACCCACTTCCTTCAGGAAATGCTTCAGGACCCCGGTGATATCATGGGGGGAGTGCTCGGAGAGCTCCACCAGGCTCCGGCCGCTCTCGAACGCCTGGCACAGCTTCTCCACGCGGGCTTTGGATCCGCTGATGCGGTAAATGCCCTGCGTGGTCCAGAGCGGGAGGGGTCAGGAGGTTGGGATGCAGAGGGGACCACAGCCAGGGTGATGACTGCGTCCTCACCTGCACCCCCAGGGCCCGGGCATCGATCTCCGAGGTGCATTTGACCACGAGGAAGGGAACCTCCTCGGGGTAATCCCGAGGGACCTGAGCGAAGTCAATCCCGAACAGAGGCACCCGGTTGGGGAGCTTCTTGTGGCCGCAGGTGATGAGCAGGCTCTCAAGGCACTTCTTGTGGCAGGCCAGGCAGCACTGAAAGGGCAGAACCCCCACCGAGGTTATGGGATGGTGGAAGGGGGGGTCCAACAGTGCCTGAACTTGAAGGGCATCTCCTGGCCCTTCGAGCATCAATGCCCCACCAGCCCCAAGAGGGTTCGAGGCGATGCTCTTGATGTAAACCAGAGGGAGGAGAGGCACAAGAACACAGCAGAGGGGCCCCCGTAGGTGGTCACCTCGGGCTCCATCATAGTGGGGTCTTCCAGCCCTCACCTCCTCGCACTCGAAGCCACTGACCATGAAGGTGTCGCAGTCCCTGCACTTGGAGGGACCCCGCAGCTTGCGGAGCCGGTGGGTCTGGGCCGCGCTGGAGAGCGGGATGCTCCTCGCCTGCGGCTGGGATGCGCTGGTTTCTATGGAGACAGCATGGAAGCGTGAAGAGGAACCCATCCATGAGCATCGGTTCCACCTCCTGAGTCCCATCGGGATGGGCCTCACCGTGTTCCATGGGATCCCTCTCTTCCAAGTCATCCGAGGAGGACACGGTGCCGGTGGATGGAGCTTTCAGCAGCTTCCTGGTAGAGGTTCCTTAAGGAGACAGCAAATCACCCTCCTGATGCACTATGGGGCTCAGTGGAGAGCTGATTCCCTCCGGGTTTGGGGCATTTCCATGGCTCCCACCTGGGCTGGAACTGGGAGAGTCCAAGGAGCGGGATTCACAGCTGCCCCCGAGGCTTTCCGTGTCGCTGCAGTGGGACCTGCTCAGAGCTGCAAGGATGGAGCCTTGGGATCCTTCAGCCAGGGCTCAAATCCCAGCCAGGCTCCCAGGAATATCCATAAATATCCATGGTCTCTCCCAGCCTTGGACCTGCCCCTCAGAACGTGAGAACCCTCCCACCTCTTTGCCAATCTGAACTGCAGGGAGGAGCGGTGATGGGCTCATGCACAAACAGGGGAGTTCAGGTTGGGGATAAGGAGCTCTGCCCTGTGAGGGTGCTGGGACACTGGGATGGACCCAAAGGAAAAGGTTTGGATGCTCCAAGTTCAAGGCCAGGCTGGACAAAGCCTTGGGTACCATGCTCTAGGGTGAAGCATCCCTGCCCACAGCAGGGGGTTGGACCTGGATGAGCTTCAGGTCCTTCCCAACCCAACCCATCCCATGACTGGAGAGCAAGCTGGGACATCCCCATTAACATGAACCTACTCTGTTCCTCGTGCCGGGAAGCATCCTCCAGTGTGCTCGCATCCTTCCCTACGGAGGACGGTCCTAGGCAGTGCGATGCCATCTTCTTCTTGCCAATGGGAGGGGACCTGGGAAGTGGTTGCAGGCAATGGTGCACTGTGGAGTTCTGCCGTTCCAGCTGGGATATCAGCTTTCTGCTCTCTTCTTTGCCTCCTACCTTTGGCCTCCCGACGCAAGCGGCTCGAACTCGAACACCTCCATAGGGATGTCTTTCTTCTGCAGAGCCTGGATGAACTCCAGGTACTTCTGGCCTGCTTTGTATGGCCTGCACACCTCGGCCAGGTACTGGTACCTCACTGGGATCTGCTCCGACTGAGCCAGCCGCTGCTTGAACATCCTTAGAGTGACCTTATGGATGGAAAGAAACCCAAAATCCCCCTTGAATAGTCCACGTCCAGGTGCTTTTTCCTCCTTTGGACCCCAGTCATTCCCCAGCCTTTAGGTTTTCACCACCCAAACTCAGTCCCACTGCAGATGGATCCCTGCTTGCTCTAGGGTTTTCCCCTTTTTTCCCCTTTTCCCCCTTTTTTCCCAGACTTTTCCTATGTGGAAACCCGTGTCCTCGGAGCATCACCAACTGCAAACAGCATTGGATAGCTGAGACTTATCGGTAGCAACATCCAGAGCATCCCCCTGCTTCCAACTGCTTTAGAAGGGTCTCACCCCAAGCAGCAGCTTCCCTGGGATGGGGATTAGAGGGGGAAAAGGCCCCCACGTACCCACGTCAGCACCTCATCCCCTTGGAAAACCAGCTTCCGGATGTGGGAGACGATCCGCGCCCGCACCCTCTCCAGCTCTTGCCTCCTGAAGTTGGCCTCGGTGATGCTCGTCTTGTACAAAGCTTCTGCTTCCTGGACCTGCATGGGAATGGGAATGGAAGAGGAAGTCACTGGGATGAATGGGGAGGAAGCAATGGGATGCTCGAGCCGGATCCCTCACCTTGGCCTGAGCCTCCTCGCAGGAGCGGCGCCGCTTCTCCAGCTGCTTGCTGGTGCCGGCCGTGCCCTGGTGCTGCTCGTCCTCTGCTTTGGCACTCAGGAGCTTTGCCTTGTGCAGCTCCTCTCGGCGCTGGCAGTACTGCAGCCGGGCCTTGCGCAGAGAGGCCAGGGCTTCACCCTCCGAGAGGCAACGGCGTTAGGATGCGGAGCGCCGAGAAGGGAAGCGCCCCCTCTCCATTGGGATGGATGCTCCCATTGACATGGACATCACTGGTGGGTCCCCCTCATCCCACAGCTCCCCAGGGGACACCCCTGGGTGTCCTCTGAGGAGAGCCCCAGCAGCACTCAGTCACCTTCCATAGGCGCTGAGCCCTCGCAGCTAAAGCCAAGCTGCATCCTTGCTGTGCGGGTAGCAGGAGGGAATGGGATGCAGCAGGATGGCACCGGAATGCCACCAGCATCCCCCCTCCTTGCACTCTTTAATGATCAACATCTGGATGCATATTCCATTATGTCATTACTGCCTGGTTGTGTCAATGTGGAGGGCCCTGGCTGGCATCAGTCAGGCCCATCTCTTGGCCTCTTACCATCCTCTTCTGCTCCTTTGTCCATTGATCCTTGAATTCCTTCCTCCATTTCTCTATTTCGTTCTTCTTGGCTGACAGAGGCTGCAGGGGGAGAATGGGGAGGAAGGGAAGAGGTCCCCATGAGGCAGGGAAAGGCAGGACATCAGGAAACAGCCTTTGTGAGATCCCTCTTTCTCCCTTCGAATCGGGGTGTCCCATTCCCTTCTTTCCTTATCCCCTTCACCTCAGACCGGGATAAATCCCTTCCTCACGTCTCTGGGATGCTCCCATGGAATCTGCCTGAACACAGCACCTGGTAGAATTCCTTCTGCTGGAGCAATGCCACCGCCTCGGCCGCTGCGTTCCCGACCTTCACGTCGTGTTCCAGGACCATTTGATAGAGCTCCCAGAGAGGCATCTTGTGCTGTGGAAAGCCAAAAACACCTTGGAGCTGGTGGATAAGCAGCCAGTGGAAGAAGAAAGGATCATTCCCATGCTGAGGAATGGGTTTGGAGCGTGTGTCCTGGAGGGATGAAGCTGGAAGCACCTTAAATCCAATGGGAACCCACTTGTGAAGCAGGAATACTGCGAGGGGTCATAGCGATAGGCCAAGGGGTGATGGGTTGGAGCTGGGTGATGCTAAGGTCCTTCCCACCCCATTCCATCCCATGGGGACCAGTACCTGTTGGAAGATGGCGTTTTGTCCTGCCTCTGCGATCTTCACCATCCCTTTGGCAAACTCTGTCTCTGTAAAAGGCCAGAGGGGATCAGGCACCTGATTCCCGGTGGCAAAGGGGGACTTTGGCAAAGTGGGACCATTCCTGGAAGCACAAACGCTGCCTCCTTGTCCTTGTGATCCAAAGCAGCCCCAGGGCTCGGTGCTGGGCCAACTTCTCCCTGTGCATTGCTCTTAACGCTGTGTTCGTGGCTGTGATCCTTTACCCAGTGCCTATGGAAAGCTCTGCCTCCCAATGGGATCCGTGCTGGGACTCACCATAACCCAGGCGCTTCTCCATCCAGCCCAGCAGCTCCTTGACGTATTTGCACCACAGCTTCGCATAGCGCAGCGCTGCCTCGATGCCTCCTTCGCACCTCAGCAGCATCTCGTCCGCCTCCTCAACTGCAGCAGGGGAAAGGCAAGGGGAGAAGGGCCCAGGGCTGGGGGAGCCCTTGAGCTCCTCCCCACCCCATCCCATGAAATCCAGCTTAGGAACTGGGGTCTTTCCTATGAGGAACCCTCAAGTCTCTGTTGCATTTCAGGATGAACCAATGAGAATCCTCCTGGCGGGTACCAAAGTGCTCCAGAGCATCCCAACTTCCCCTGGGGAGATCCACCCTGTGCTTAAAACCACCACAGCTTTGGGAATGGATGTCCTGGTGGTTAGGAATGAAGAGCGGGTGAGAAGCTCCTCAATGAGATAGTCCAGGACTGGTGGCAGTGGGGACCCCAGCATCATCCATCAGGTGTTGAACCAAGAGCTTAACATCCCCTCTTTGGGTTTCAATGGGTGCTGTTACCTGTTAGCTCTGGCCTCTCCGGGCTGGCTTTGCTCTGGCAGAAGCTTCCACTCAACTGTGGAGGGGGAAAGAGGCAGGAATTGACTGGGAAAATGGGGAAAGAGCAAAGGTTTGGGGAATGGGGAGGGTTTCTTCCATAACGCGGCTCTTTTCCTACCGGAATGACCTCGGGGTCCGTGCTGGGGGCTGTGCTGTCGGTGCTGCCCTTGTCACCAATGAACACATCCACTGTCCTGGAGCAGGGGACAGGAGAGGAAGCATGAGCCCAAGTGAGGTTCCAAAGAGCCAGGGAATTGGCTGACCCCCCTCTTCTCCTCTACGTACGCGTTCCCAATGGAGATCCCGATGGCATCCAGGCTGCGGAAGATCTCGCTGTACCGCTGCCGGCCCTCGGGAACGCTCTCCTGAGGGCTCAGACCTGGAGACGGGGCAGAGCATCCCATGGAGACACCCGAGATGCAGGGGAGCAGGGCCGAGCCCTCTGCAGACGCACAGGGAATCGACCATAGGGTCCATGCGTCCCAGACTGGTTTGGGTTAGAAGAGACCTGAGGAGCATCCTTTAGGATTGAGATGATCTGAAGGTGGTTTCCAGCTCCAACCCCTGCCACAGGCAGGGACCCCTTCCACTGGAGCAGCTTGCTCCAAGCCCCTGTGTCCAACCTGGCCTTGAACAGGGATGGGGCATCCAAACCTTCTCCATTCAACCCATCCCAGTGTCCCACCACCTTCTGCCTAAGGTCCCATCTCCACCTCCCCTCTGGCAGGTTCAAGCCATTCCCCTTGTCCTGTCCCTGCATCCCTCATCCCAAGCCCCTCTCCTGGTTTCCTGCAGCCCCTTTATGCACTGGAGCTGCTCTAAGGTCTCCCCTTAAGGACCCTTCTCCAGGCTGGACCAGCCCAGCTCTCTCAGCCTGACTCCAGAGCAGGGATGCTCCAGCACCCACAGCACCTTTATGGGACCCTTTCTCAACCCCCCCCCAGGCAATAACCTGCATTACAGAAGCCTGCATCACACCCAGGACCCCAGCAGGCCAAATCCTGTACATGCAGACCATTATCCATGCTGGTCCCCACTCCAGGGTCAATACCCTGATGCTTGAGGTTGTTTTGGCCATGGGTGCACCCGTAGCAAGCTGGAGGTGAGCACATGCATCTGCTGTGGGGTTATGGGTGCTGTTAATCTCACTTCCCACTCCCTCGTGCACTAAAACTGACTCAGACTGAAAACCGCTGGGGGGGGGGGGCAAAAGTAAAGAGAAACCATCAAAACCCATGCAACTGGGCCCAGTTGGTGAAAGCAAAAGGAAACGGTGCTGCTCTTTGTCCTTTTGGCATTCCAGGAAACAGGATGTGGTTGACTTCGATCTACAGTTGCTTCGTTCTGACAGTTAAGTGCTGCTCAGATGCTGCATCAGCACAAAGAAAGGATGGGAAGGGAGAACACGGTCCCCATCCTCCTTGTCCTTGTAGCAGGGGTTTTGCTCCATGGAGCTCCTTGTTCGGGGCATCGCAATCACACAGTGACAGCAGCCAAGCCATGAGCATCACCTTAACACTGGGAAGAAGGTGGGACACCGAAGGCACCCCTTTCCTCACAGTCAGCATGGAGCAGCGTGGACCTGATGCTGCGTTCCCTTCAGCATCAGGGAGATGGGAAAACTCCCCCTTTCCTTGCTTTTGCTGGGCACTGGTTTATGCCCTATCCAGATTCAGGCTCCAAAGCCTTCTGGAGCTCTTACTCCAAAGTGAGCACCCTGATGGAGCTGCAGGGAACCCTTTGGCTCCTCGTCACTCACACTGGTAGCACAGTGATGCTAAGAGAGAGCTGCAAAGTGAACCCAGCACCTCCTGCGTGGGTGATGGATAAAGCAGCACCTCGCACCCAGTGGGTGATGTAAGGCAGCTCACAGGCAGCATCCTGCTTCTCCTGCACCAATTGGCTCATAACCCAAGAGGTAACGACCCCAAACCATAACGACCCCAAACCATAACAACCCCAAACCATAACGACCCCAAACCATAACGACCCCAAACCATAACGACCCCAAACCATAACGACCCCAAACCATAACGACCCCGAGCTGTAATAAACCCAAGCCCCGTTTAACGTGAATCCCAAGTGCTCTTGCTGCTTTGTGTCAGCTTGAACGTCTCTTGGGTACCACCAACAGGGGATTGTACAACAGGAAGAAGTGACTCAACCTGAGCAGCGCTGGCCATGGGCAAAGCAACACCAGAGCTGCAGGGGATCACAAGCCTTTTGCTTCACCTCAATGGGAGAATTGCTATAGGTAACAGTAGAAATACACTGAATATAAGATTTCCTGGCCTTGCTGATGGCCATAAACTGCCCTTCGGACCCTGAGGGAAGCCCTTTAGGCTTAGGGAGCAGAGCATCCTCTGCGGCACTGGGATACGGGACCGCTTGGAGTATCTCTGCCTCGGTCCTTCATCCATTCCCTGTGACTCTGCGAATGGCCCCACCAGTTTCAAACCAGTTCTCTTACTGGGAAGCTGATCTGGAAGCGGACTCTTCCATAGATTAAACCCCATCCGTGTCCCTTGAAGGACAGTGCATCCTTAGCTTATCCCAGCGTTGGCCCTACACCTGCATCCTCTCCTGGATAGCTCTTCCCTGCCTTTCACCACTGTCCCAGGGAGAACAAGCTGGTGCCGTGCATGGAGGGTATTTGCTGCAGGAGCAGCCCTCACTTCCCTTTCAGCTACCCAGAAATGAGGTCAGTACCTAAAGCCCTGGCTCTATAGGGCACCATTGCCCAACCTTGGTACCTCGAGCCTGGCCCCAGCAGCATCTTCCCCTTCTCTGCCCTCAGCCTTGCACGTTGCAATGCAACATCTGAGTGTTACCTCTCATCAGTGGGTGTGGAACCCCCCTGCTCCACAGCACATCCCCATCGCTGCATGAAATCCTCCCTTTTTTAACCAAAAAGAGACTTTCTGGTACCCAAATGGGGCCACGAGGATGCTGGAGAGGGAACCTCTCATCAAGGACTTGTAGCGATAGGATAAGGGGTGATGGATCCAGACTGAAAGAGGGGAAGGTCAGCTTGGAGATAAGGAAGTGGTCCCCTGTGAGGGTGCTGGGACAGGGGGCCCATCCCTGGCAGTGCTCAAGACAGAGCCTTGGGCAGCCTGGTCTAACATGAGGCATCCCTGCCCATGGAACCGGGTGATCTTAAGCTCCTTTGCACCCCAAACCTGGGCTTCTATAAGGCACCCCTCAGTAAGACTCTGATTATGGCCTCCCAAAACGCTGTCTCTGCCCATCTAAGGGATACCAGCAGCCTTGGAGCAAACCAATGCAAGGCCCTGGGCAAACCCCACGCCCGCTTCCCCTCCATCACCCTGGTTTCTCTGCTCTCTTCCTGCGTCAGCATCCCCAATGGGGCTCGGCCCCCAACTGACAGGAAACACGAGCGAGGTCGGGTGCCGTAAATAGCAGAAGGGATTAACAGGGGCATTAATGAAGCACAGAGGGGAGAAGGAGGGGGGGAACTTCCACTTTGTATGGGGGTGCGTTGAAGCAGAAGCTGGGGTGTCTGAGAGCAGGGACCGAGCGCAGATGCAGTAGGGTGCGAATAGAACCAGCTTTAGAGGGTGAGATCAGCAACCCAGGCCCATTGTGAGGGGTGGCAGCTTCCAGGCCCTTAAACCCTGCTTTCTGAGTGAGAAAAGGGCAATCCTATTGAGCTGCCTGCTTGTTTCTTCAGTCCTAACAAGGAAGCGCTGGCGATGGAAGTGTCACAATGCATCACAGCGGATGGAAAGCAAGAGAAGGACCCTCCAAAGAGCACCAGAAGGAGGAATTGAAGGCATTTACTGGCCAAAACCCATAAACCTGAGTGAAATCTTTCATTCCAGCCCTTTTGGCTTTGCAAAGGAGCAAACTCAACCTCCTGAAGAGATCTTGTGGCTCTTGTGCCCTACTTGGATTCCTCAGGGGCATTTGGTATCTATGGTCACGTTCCAAAGGGGATTTGGGGTGGGATGGTACCACCTCTTTGCTCTGAAGCCCCTCATGTGTTATCACTGCATGGGGCTGTGTCTAAAGGGAGCTCAGATGCAGTGGATGCTCGCCGGTTCAATGCAGCATCCTCGCTCCTGGTGAAGGGCTTGGTGAGACCCAGCATGCAGAGCAACAAAGCAGCCTTCTACATAGGGTTCTATACACACCTATCTTCTAGCACATGGATGTGACCACGAGCTGCAGCAGCTCTCTGTTAGCTGATGCCTTCTCAACCCCAGGACAAAGACATGACGACACCAAGGGCTCTGGTACGAGGGGTTCATACCCTTGGTGGTACCGAGACCTCTAAGATGCTTCACTGCCATTACCCCCATTCAAACTCCATCCATACCCCAGGCTGTCACCATTGAGAACAAGGACTTAGAGGCCTCTTGGTAGAAGGACTGGGGCTGGTTCTGCACCCGAGGTCCTCCAAGCCTCACAAAAAGGGGGGTTCCATCCTTCCCTAACCCTAACCCTAACCCTAACCCTAACCTTAAGCCTAACCCTAACCCTAACCCAGCATCCAGGCCAACCCCATCCCATAAACCCACCTTAGCCCCATAGAACAGCGCAGTCCCTTCCGTGGAAAACCCCGTTAAGAGGAACTTAGAGCTGGTTTCTAGCAGCCATGTTTCCCCCCCCCCCCCCCGTGCCTCCCAGCCTGATCCATCCTCCCGTGCCCCCCAAAAGCTGACACACCAAAGAGCATTGAAGCATCCTTCCCATCCCAGCACCTACCGCTTGCTTCCGGCTCCCCCATGGCTGAACCCGCAGCCCTTGGGCTTGGAGGCAGCGCGACCCCAAAGGGCTCCGTCCGCTCCGAACCCCAAAGCCTTGCTCAGAGCAGTGGATGAGGAAGGGTCCGAAGGGTCCAAGGGGCCATGGGAGCTGCGTGTGGAGGGCACCCGGAGCCCAACGTGCTTCCTGCAGCCGCTGTGAGGGCCCGGAGAGCAGCGCAGGCTCCTTCCCTCCTGCGGTTTGCATCACCCATAGGGGATGGGTTGAGTCCTCCGGGCTTGGGGCTCGCAGGGTCCTGCCTTCAGAGCCCTCCCTGCTGCCTCGGGAACCCCATCAAGCTCCCATAGGCACTGAGCGACCCCCTGTGATGCCCATGGGAGGAAGGGAGAGGGCTCGTGGGTGGGAAGAAGGGATGGATGGAGGGGAGGGCTGATGGGGGCTCCCCATCTCTTTGCTGGGGGCAGAATAAGTTGGCTATAAGGATGGAGCTCTTCACAGTGAGGATGCTGAGGCCCTGGGATGGGTTCAATGGGGAGGGTTGGGATCCCCCATCCCTAGCAGCGCTCAGGGCTGGGTTTGGAGCACGCTGCCCCTGCCCTCGGCACCCATTGCCCATGAGCAGTAACCCATGGGGCTCTCTATGCTCAGGGCCTTACCCTCGATGCTGGCACAGCAGCATGGGTGGCACCAGCGGGCACAGGGAGCTCAGGAAGGAGGAGATGGAGCGCAGCAACGCGGCCCCTTTGGCTTCTCCTAAGAGGAAGGAAGGGAAAGGTGAGGACTTCTTTACATGGGACCCCCCCCCAGCACATCCCAATGGGCACCAACAGCCCTGGAACTGGGGGTGAAGCACCCGTTACCCCCAACAGGCAGAGAACCCACCCGTATCAATGGGATGGGTGCGGGTATTGCCCTCTCTATACCCTCTCCATGGCTCCACAGTGCCTTTGGTCCACCCATGTCCCCCCCCAGTGCAGGAGCATCCATTGCGTGTCCTTGTGTCTTTACACCCAAAGGTGCTGATCTCCAAGGGGAAGAAGCCTGAGCGCTGGGGAAGATGCTGGGAGAACCAGTGTTGGTTGGGGCCCATCCAGCTTGGATGGGGTCATGCAATCCCTATGGCCATGGAAGACCGGGATCACAGGGAATTGGGGATGCCAGCGGAAAGAGAGGCTCCTGCAGCAGGTTCCCTGTTGCAGCAAGCAGTTAAAGGGGTTTAGTGCTGCTGCTGTGCTCTATGAGCTCTATGGGCCTGGAATAACTTGGATCCTTCCCTCCCAGCTTGCTCTCCATGCTGGGAATGTCCTGCAGGTATCCCGGGATAAAGGAGGAGAGAGATGGGGAAGAGGAAGGCTCCACCCCGAGCATCCCCAGCTCCAGGCTGTGCCCTTTGGATGCCTTCCCATTGAGGAATCCCGGCTTTCCCATAGGGCTCCAGGGAGGAATTGGGGTTGCTGTCGGTGACACTTGAAGGGGTTTGCATTGCTTTCAGAGGAGAGCTGGGCGCTCAGATGGGGCCGTGCTCTGAGCCTTCATCTAGGGATGCAGTGCAGGATCCATCTATGGATGCAGGAGGAGAGGCTTGCCCAATGAACTGCCTGTGCTGGGAGAGCTGAGACCCACCTAAACCCATCGCTTCCCACCCCTCCTGCTGACCTCACCCAGGAGCCAAGGGGCAGGCTGGACCCCACTCATCCCTATGGGGTCCATGGGGTCCATCCCGCATCTCCGGTCCATGCTCCTCAGGGGAACTTTCCTGATGCTGGCAGGTTCCCTGTTCCCAAGCGCTCCTGTTGCTCTGCCACACAAGAAGCAAGGAAAGGGCAAATTTTGGGTTCAAAATAGGAAAATATGATTAAATATGGTTAAATATTTAATATGGTGAAACCCAAATGGGTGAAAGTCCTTGGTAAATGCTACAGTCATGGAATGGTTGGGGTTGGGAAGGAGCTGAAGATGATCCAGGGATGCCTCACCCTAGCCCATGGCACCTTGAATACTGCTGGGATGGGGCATCCACCAGTTCTCCATTGAACCCATTCCAGTGTCCCAGCACCCTCCCAGGGCAGAGCTTCCTTATCTCCACCCTGAACTCCCCTGTTTCACCCTGAACCCATCACCCCTTGGTCCTATCCCTGATGCCGGTCCCTCCCCAGCATCCTCACAACCCCCTTCAGGTTCGGTTCCACTCGTGCCCATCAGCCCTCAGCCTCCTTCCTGCAGCAGCTCTGCCACCTGAGAGCACTTTTTGGGTTCCTTTGTGCCTTTTTGCCCTGCATCCCTGCATGGAGCATCCCCAAGGATGCGCTTGGCTCGTTCTGCCTGAAGCCAAGGCCCTGCCAAGCGTTTGGATGAGGGGATTGCTTCCCTGTAGGACTCGCTGGGTGAAGAGAGCTGGGCTGGTCCAGACTGGAGAGGAGGAGGCTTCTTAAGGGAGGACCTTAGAGCAGCTCCAGTGCCTAAAGGGGATGCAGGAAACCTGGAGAGGGGCTTGGGATCAGGGATGCAGGGACAGGACAATGGGAATGGCTTGAACCTGCCAGAGGGGAGATGGAGATGAGCTCTTAGGGAGAAGCTCTTCCATGGGGACACTGGGATGGGGTGAATGGAGAAGGTTTGGCTGCCCCATCCCTGGCAGTGTTCAAGGCCAGCTTGGAGCAAGCCGCTCTATGGAAGGTGCAGGGGTCGGAACTGGATGAGCTTTAAGGTCCCTTCCAACCCACCCCACTCCCTGCCTCAATGAATTCCCATTTTGAGGGGTTCAGTGAGTTATTCCCCAAAGTCTGGTCTTTCGCAGTTACGTTTTTGGTACATAAATGGCAAAGATCTCGGGGTGAGGTTTTCACTGCCCCAAACCCTAGGAGGATGCAGATGTCGCTGCCCTGGGGATGCTGGGTGGGGGCATCAGCCCCGTCTTTGAGCCCCTATTCCAAGTCCTCTTCCCTTTCCCTGTCCTTCGCCTCCTTGCCCTTGTCCAGCCTGTACTTGAGGCGGCGGAGGGGGTCCGTGATGCTCCTCCTGCTCCGCTTCTCCCAGTCCTCTGCCAGGAGGAAATCCCTGTCCACCAGCTCGGCCGCCTCCTGCCAGTTCCGGAAGCAAGCGGGCCCCAGGCTCCGGATCTCCTCCACGGCATTCCCGACGATCACCTCCCCGCTGGGCTTCAGCACCACCACCGCTGGCACCTCGGATACGGCGAAGCGCAGCTCCAGCTCCCTGCAAGGCAAAGGGGAAGGAGCCTCAAATGGGGAAGGGGACCGGATTGATGCTCTTCATCCTTGATGATCCTCATCCTCGCTGCTCCTCATCCTCGCTGCTCCTCATCCTCCCTGCTCCTCATCCTCCCTGCTCCTCATCCTCGCTGCTCCTCATCCTCCCTGCTCCTCATCCTCGCTGCTCCTCATCCTCCCTGCTCCTCATCCTCCCTGCTCCTCATCCTCCCTGCTCCTCATCCTCGCTGCTCCTCATTCTCCCTGCTCCTCATCCTCGCTGCTCCCCATCCTCACCATCCTATAGGATTCCCATGGGCATCCTGGCCGTGTGGAGCCTCTTTGCTGACCGTCACCCACTCACTTGCCCACCCCTGGTAACTGGAGCTTAATGGGGAGCTCTGTGGGGCTGGGATAAGGGGAAGGAGATCTTGACATCAGCCCCTGGCGCTATGGAATGGCTGATTTAAAGGAGCAGCACTTAAACAACCCCAAAACGTTCACATCCTCCTGTTTGCTTCAGAAGGAGCCAGGGATAACTCCCCCTGTCCACTGCAGCTTCCTTGCCACTCACAGGGTTACAGGAAACACGCTTCCATCCCATCCACCCTCCCCACTGGAGCGCCACAGAACGGGAATAACAGCAAAAGCCGGGGGGGAAGGAGAAGGGAAACGGTTTTCCATTAGGAATAAACGCAGCCAAAGAGCTCTGCGCTTCTTCCCCTGCATAGAACAGACGGGAAAAGACCGGGACGGCCCCGGGCTCGGCCGTTACCTGCCGAAAGCATCCCCGAAGGGGAGGGCGAGCCAGCGGCGGGGCATGGCCCGCAGGAAGGCGCTGCGCTGCTCCTCCGTCTCGTCCCGGGACACGTAGACGAGGCCGAGCTGCGAGGCTCGCTCCACGTGGAAGTCATCGGTGAGGCGCAGGAAGAAGTCCTTGAGGAGCGGAGCGAAGCGGCGGCAGCGCGGGCACCGCGCCGAGCCGAAGTAAAGCAGCAGGACCCTGTTGTCCAGCGCCCCGTGCAGCTCCCGCTCCGTGTCCAGCTCGTCCCGTTCCCGGTTGGCCAGCAGGACCCTGCCGGTGAAGAGGGAGGCCATGGGGAGCGCTCGGGGATGAAGGGGGGGGGATGCGGAGCTCGCTGCCGGTCCCGGTTATTAATGGATGAGGATCAGGCGCTAAAGCGGCTTAAAAGGGGAGGTCAGCGGCGGGGTCGGGTTGGGGGGGGTTCGTCGGGGCTGTGAGGGAGCCGGTTATGGGGTACAGATGCAGGGGGATGGGGGGGGAAGTGATGGACCCGGTTATGGGGTACAGGTGCAGGGGGATGGGGGGGGAAGTGATGGGCCCGGTTATGGGGTACAGATGCAGGGGGATGGGGGGGGAAGTGATGGACCCGGTTATGGGGTCCCAGTGCAGGGGGATGGGGGGGGGAAGTGATGGACCCGGTTATGGGGTACAGGTGCAGGGGGATGGGGGGGGAAGTGATGGACCCGGTTATGGGGTCCAGGTGCAGGGGGATGGGGGGGGAGTGATGGACCCGGTTATGGGGTCCTGCTGCAGTGGGATGGGGGGGGAAGTGATGGGCCCGGTTATGGGGTACAGGTGCAGGGGGATCGGGGTCGGGGGAAATGATGGACCCGGTTATGGGGTCCCTGTGCAGTGGCATCGGGGGGGCACGGGACCGTGAGTGACCTGGTTATGGGGTCCCGGGGTGGGGAAGTGAGGGACCCGGTTATGGGGTCCCGGTGCAGGGGGATCGGGGTCGGGGGAACTGTGAGGGGCCCGGTTATGGGGTCCCGGTGCAGTGGGATCGGGGGGTCACGGGACCGTGAGGGACCTGGTTATGGGGTCCCGGGGGGGGGGGAAGTGAGGGACCCGGTTATGGGGTCCCGGTGCAGTGGGATCGGGGGGCGACGACCGTGAGGGATCCGGTTGTGGGGACCCGGTGCAGGGGGATCGGGGTCGGGGGAAATGATGGACCCGGTTATGGGGTTCCGGGACGGTTCCGGTACGGACCCCCCTCCCCATCCCCTTCGGTTCCCCCCCCTACAGCGCCCCTCGGGCACCGGCCCCGGGGGTGGAGCGGGACTTGGTGATGCCCAAGAGGCGTTCCGAACGTCACTCCCTCTCGACCAATCCTATCCGGCAACCACTCCCTCTACCAATAGGATGTTGCGTTTCCTCTCTACCCCGCCCCTCGGCCGGGAGGAGGCGGGGCTTCATCTCAGGCGGACGCGGCTGAGGCGGGAGCGGGAGGAGGAGTCGGGGCTTGGAGCCGGGGTGACACCGTGGTGGACCCGGTTATGGGGTCCCGCTGCAGGGGGATCGGGGTGGGGGGGACCGTGATGGACCCGGTGATGGGGTTCCGAGGAGGTTCCGGTACGGATCCCCCTCCCCATCCCCTTCGGTTGTCCCGGTCCCCCCCTCCGGGGGTGGAGCGGGACTTGGTGACGCCCAAGGGGCGTTCCCAACGTCACTCCTTCTCGACCAATCCCATCCGGCAACCCCTCCCTCGACCAATAGGATGTTGCGTTTCCTCTCTACCCCGCCCCTCGGCCGGGAGGAGGCGGGGCTTCACCTCAGGCGGTCGCGGCTGAGGCGGGAGCGGGCGGCGGAGCCGGGGACGACCCCGGTCCGGGAGCGCTGCCCTGGGCGGGATGCACCCGGCCGGGCTGTGCGCGGCCTCGCTGGGCTCCCTGGGGCTGCTGCGGTTCCTGGGCGCCCCGTGGCCATGGAGCCTGGCGGCCACGCTCGCCGTGTGCCTGTGCGGCGGGGGCTGGCGGCTGCTGCGGCTGCTCTACAGAACGGCTCCGCGGGACCTCTTGTAAGTGCGGCCCCTTGCAGGCCCTCCGCACCCCGCGGGCCCCTCCCAGGGTGCAGGGTGAAGGCTCGGCCATGGAGGGAGCGGGGGATGGAGGGGCCGCTTCGATCCCTCTGCAACCGGGGGGCTTGGGGCCGCCTCTCTGTCTCCGGGGGGGGGCTCATCCCGTTGGGTTGTGCGGGTTTTAGGCCTCGGCGGGGATGTGCCCTTGGGATTGCAAGGGATTCCAGGATTCCAAAGGTTTCCAAAGGTTTACAAGGGATTCTAAAGGGATTCCAAAGGATTCCAAGGGATTCCGAAGGTTTCCAAGGGATTCTAAAGGAATTCTAAAGGTTTCCAAGAGATTTTAAAGGGATTCCAAAGGATTCCAAGGGCTTCCAAAAGTTTCCAAGGGATTCCCAAAGTTTTCAAGGGATTCCAAAGATTTCCAAAGGATTCCAAATGTTTCCAAGGGATTCCAAAGGTTTCCAAGAGATTCTAAAGGGATTCCAAGGGATTCCAAATGTTTCCAAGGGATTCCAAATGTTTCCAAGGGATTCCAAAGGATTCCAAGGGATTCCAAAGGATTCCAAAGGATTCCAAGGGATTCCAAGGGATTCCTGCCGTTGGCAGCTTCCCCGTTGCCTGCCGGTGCGTTTGAAGGGCTGCTTCCTCCGCACTGCCCCGCCAGCTGGGACTAAGGTCAGGGAATGGAGCGGCCGGAAGAAAGCCCTTTGAGAGCGCTGAGAAAGGCTCCTCTGTTCCCTGCTTGGCACCGGGCAGCCTAACCCTAACCCTTGCCAACAGCTTGGGGCTGGAGTGCCCTTCCCCCTGCAACGGGGCTCCATCCAGCACCCCTGCACTGACATTGGGCACCGGGAGCTGCGGCCCTTTCAAAGGGCTGGTATTGAATGACCTGTGGGGAGCTTGCCAAGGCCCTTTCCTGCACAACACCTTCCTAATGGCACGCTGGGAAGATGCTGCCTGCTTCTGGGAAGGAAATAGGAGCCACGGAACCCCCCCTTCAACCTCCTGCTGCCCTCGTGAATGGAGCCATTCTCATTGCTGGGTTATAGCCCCTGCACCCCATAAAGGGCAGGGAGGTTCAGGCAGCAGCTTAGCATCCAGCTGGGGCTGTGTCGAGGTTTGAGTCGTGGCCGCTGCTTTGAAGGCTTCAAATGGCTGTAAATTCTAGACCATAAACTCCCAAATTCCCTCCATTATGGAAGGAAAACCTCCACCTCCTTGGCACCGTTTGAGCAGGGATGTGACCATTCTTGCTAAGGGAGCCCTGACTTTCAAACAGCTTGCTCAATAACAGGAGTCGTAATAATAGGTTATGCTCTAGATTAATAGGTAATAGATAGGAACTATGACGGTGGCATTCCGACAGCCTGGCTTCCCTTCATCCCAGGCCTGCAGCAGGGATGGAGCCCCAGGAGGATGCTCCTGCTTGCAGGGGAAAGGAGAAACCTTTGCTTTCTGGGAGCTGAGCTCCCTTGTTATCGAAGGGGCAGGATGGCTTTGGCATCTCTATGCTTATGGAGCCAGTGCAGATTAACCTGGCATGAAGCACGTTTGCTTCCCATAGGTTGCCAAGGCTATTTCCTTTAGGATGGCAGAATATATGGTTAAAAGAGGTCATTTACCCTCTTTAATGGGCTTGTTTGAGCTGGCATCAAGGTGAAGATGGATTCCCTGTGGTTTATAGCTCCACAACAGTTGTGGTACCCTCTTTATTCACCATCACACGAACGTCTTCCTTAGAGCAGCAGTGATTGGAAGTTCTGTTGTCAGGGTAACGCTTTGGCTGTCCATGGGTGAGGGGGTTAGGGTTAGGGTTAGGGTTAGGGGCATCCTGCCCTTCCCAACTGCTGCAAACTGCCCTCCTTATGCTCTGTCTTTGCTGCAGCGGCCTCTCAGTGCTGCTACGGGTCAAGTACAAACTGCGCCAGCACCAGCAAGCCCAAAGCACCGTCCCCAAGATGTTCCAGGACGTCGTCCTCAGGCACCCCGACAAAGTGGCCCTGATTTACGAAGGCACCGGGGAGCAGTGGACCTTCAGGAGGCTGGAGGAGTACTCCAACGCCGTGGCCAACTGCTGCGCCCAGCAAGGCTTCCACGGGGGGGACGTCATTGCCATCTTCATGGAGAGCCGCCCCGAGTTCGTTGGCCTCTGGCTGGGGATGGCGAAGGTGGGCATCGAGGCGGCTCTCATCAACTTCAACCTGCGCCTGGATTCCCTGGTTTACTGCGTGAGGAGCTCGGGGGCCAAAGCGATCGTCTTCGGAGGGGAGCTCTCCTCAGGTGGGTCACTCAACCAACGGCCTGCTCGCTCCTGAGCTCTTCAGTTGGGCTGAATAAGGCAGAGCTCAAGGAAGCAAAAGCCCCAAAGGCAGCTGGAGGCATGGAAAGCTTGGGATGTTGGTGCACATCCTGATTGCAAAAGGGAGAAGTGTTCGTAGGATCATGGGAGGGGGTGGTTTGTGTTGGAAGGGACCTTAAAGCCCCATCCAGCTCCAACCCCCTGCCATGGGCAGGGACCCCTTCCACTGGAGCAGCTTGCTCCAAGCCCCTGTGTCCAGCCTGGCCTTGAACAGGGATGGTTCATCCAAACCACCTCCATTCAACCCATCTCAGTGTCCCACTGCCCTCACAGGGAAGAGCTCATCTCCATCTCCCCTCTGGCAGGTTCAAGCCATTCCCCTTGGCCTGTCCCTACAGGCCCTTGTCCCAAGCCTCCATTCAACCACCCTCACAAGGAAGAGCTCATCTCCATCTCCCCTTGTCCTGCTCCTCCGTCCCATGTCCAAAGCCCCTCTCCAGGTTTCCTGTACCCCCCTTTATGTGTGGATCTGTGGCAGAAGCAGATGCTGTACCCGTTATTTTGCCACTGCCTGGAGCATTCTGTGTGTTGTAAAAGTGCCTTCCTTTGTCTTGCAGCAATATCTGAAGTGAGCGGGATGCTGGGGAAGAACATGGCCAAGTTCTGCTCTGGTGACTATAACCCAGCTCTTGTTCCTGTGGAGACCAGACACCTCGATCCTCTCCTGAGCACTGCGTCCAAGTCAGCCCCAGCTCAGATTCCAGGCAAAGGCTTAGATGGTAATGAAGGACCTTTCATTGTCAGTGGGATGGGGGTGAGAGCTGGTCCAGGTGATAGCAAAGCAAGGAGGCAGCAAGGTGCAGGGGGTAAATCCACCCAGTTTGGACTCTCAGAAGAAAGGAAGGGGGGGAAAAAAGAGGAAACAAACCCCAAATCCTGGTTCCAGGGGGCTCTGGGTTAAGTTTCTCATTCTC